GATATCTCAGCTCTGGAAGGGTCTAGAGCCTCCATTTTTGCACTCAGGTCAAAGTCTCACAGCCCTCTATCATAATCCAGAGTTTTGAGAAGATTGGAGAAACTTAATTTTTCGCCCAAAAATGAAAAAAAAAAACGAAAGGGGTAACACTGTCGTTTTTTTTTCGGGTCGAAATTTTGAATTTCGATATCTCAGCTCTGGAAGGGTCTAGAGCATCCATTTTTGCACTCAGGTCAAAGTCTCACAGCCCTCTATCATAATCCAGAGTTTTGAGAAGATTGGAGAAACTTAATTTTTCGCCCAAAAATGAAAAAAAACGTAAGGGGTAACACTGTCGTTTTTTTTTCGGGTCGAAATTTTGAATTTCGATATCTCAGCTCTGGAAGGGTCTAGATCATCCATTTTTGCACTCAGGTCAAAGTCTCACAGCCCTCTATCATAATCCAGAGTTTTGAGAAGATTGGAGAAACTTAATTTTTCGCCCAAAAATGAAAAAAAAAAACGAAAGGGCTAACACTGTCGTTTTTTTTCGGGTCGAAATTTTGAATTTCGATATCTCAGCTCTGGAAGGGTCTAGAGCCTCCATTTTTGCACTCAGGTCAAAGTCTCACAGCCCTCTATCATAATCCAGAGTTTTGAGAAGATTGGAGAAACTTAATTTTTCGCCCGAAAACGAAAAAAACGAAAGGGGTAACACTGTCGTTTTTTTTTCGGGTCGAAATTTTGAATGTTGATATCTCAGCTCTGGAAGGGTCTAGAGCCTCCATTTTTGCACTCAGTTCAAAGTCTCGTGGCCCTCTATCAGAATCCAGAGTTTTGAGAAGATATGAGAAACTTAATTTTTCGCCCAAAAATGAAAAAAAAACGAAAGGGGTAACACTGTCGTTTTTTTTCGGGTCGAAATTTTGAATTTTGATATCTCAGCTCTGGAAGGGTCTAGATCATCCATTTTTGCACTCAGGTCAAAGTCTCACAGCCCTCTATCATAATCCAGAGTTGTGAGAAGATTGGAGAAACTTAATTTTTCGCCCAAAAATGAAAAAAAAACGAAAGGGGTAACACTGTCGTTTTTTTTCGGGTCGAAATTTTGAATTTCGTTATCTCAGCTCTGGAAGGGTCTAGATCATCCATTTTTGCACTCAGGTCAAAGTCTCACAGCCCTCTATCATAATCCAGAGTTTTGAGAAGATTGGAGAAACTTAATTTTTCGCCCGAAAACGAAAAAAACGAAAGGGGTAACACTGTCGTTTTTTTTTCGGGTCGAAATTTTGAATGTTGATATCTCAGCTCTGGAAGGGTCTAGAGCCTCCATTTTTGCACTCAGTTCAAAGTCTCGTGGCCCTCTATCAGAATCCAGAGTTTTGAGAAGATATGAGAAACTTAATTTTTCGCCCAAAAATGAAAAAAAACGAAAGGGGTAACACTGTCGTTTTTTTTTCGGGTCGAAATTTTGAATTTCGATATCTCAGCTCTGGAAGGGTCTAGATCATCCATTTTTGCACTCAGGTCAAAGTCTCACAGCCCTCTATCATAATCCAGAGTTTTGAGAAGATATGAGAAACTTAATTTTTCGCCCAAAAATGAAAAAAAAACGAAAGGGGTAACACTGTCGTTTTTTTTTTTCGGGTTGAAATTTTGAATTTCAATATCTCAGCTCTGGAAGGGTCTAGATCATCCATTTTTGCACTCAGGTCAAAGTCTCACAGCCCTCTATCATACTCAAAATTTCGACCCGAAAAAAAAACGACAGTGGAACCCCTTACGTTTTTTTTCGGGGGGCAAAAAATTAAGTTTCCCCAATCTTCTCAAAACTCTGGATTCTGATAGAGGGCCATGAGACTTAGACCTGAGTGCAAAAAGCGAGGCTCTAGACCCTTCCAGAGCTGAGGTATCGAAATTCAAAATTTCGACCCGAAAAAAAAAAAAACGACAGTGTTACCCCTTTCGTTTTTTTCCGTTTTCGGGCGAAAAATTAAGTTTCTCCAATCTTCTCAAAACTCTGGATTATGATAGAGGGCTGTGAGACTTTGACCTGAGTGCAAAAATGGATGATCTTGACCCTTCCAGAGCTGAGATATTGAAACTCAAAATTTCGACCCGAAAAAAAAACGACAGTGTTACCCCTTTCGGTTTTTTTCACTTTTGGGCGAAAAATTAAGTTTCTCCAATCTTCTCAAAACTCTGGATTCTGATAGAGGGCTTTGAGACTTTGAACTGAGTGCAAAAATGGAGGCTCTAGACCCTTCCAGAGCTGAGATATCGAAACTCAAAATTTCTACCCGAAAAAAAAAATGACAGTGTTACCCCTTTCGTTTTTTTTTCATTTTTGGGTGAAAAATTAAGTTTCTCCAATCTTCTCAAAACTCTGGATTATGATAGAGGGCTGTGAGACTTTGACCTGAGTGCAAAAATGGATGATCTAGAACCTTCCAGAGCTGAGATATCGAAATTCAAAATTTCGACCCGAAAAAAAAAAAAACGACAGTGTTACTACCCCTTTCGTTTTTTTTTTTCATTTTTGGGCGAAAAATTAAGTTTCTCCAATCTTCTCAAAACTCTGGATTCTGATAGAGGGCTGTGAGACTTTGACCTGAGTGCAAAAATTGATGATCTAGAACCTTCCAGAGCTGAGATATCGAAATTCAAAATTTCGACCCGAAAAAAAAAAACGACAGTGTTACCCCTTTCGTTTTTTTTTCATTTTTGGGCGAAAAATTAAGTTTCTCCAATCTTCTCAAAACAGCTCTGGAAGGGTCTAGAGCCTCCATTTTTGCACTCAGGTTTAAGTCGCATGGCCCTCTATCATAATCCAGAGTTTTGAGAAGATTGGGGAAACTTAATTTTTCACCCCCCCTAAAAAAACGTAAGGGGTACCACTGTCGTTTTTTTTTTCGGGTCGAAATTTTGAGTTTCGATATCTCAGCTCTGGAAGGGTCTAGAGCCTCGCTTTTTGCACTCAGGTCTAAGTCTCGTGGCCCTCTATCAGAATCCAGAGTTTTGAGAAGATTGGGGATACTTAATTTTTCGCCCGAAAAAAAAAACAAACGAAAGGGGTACCACTGTCGTTTTTTTTTTTCGGGTCGAAATTTTGAGTTTCGATATCTCAGCTCTGGAAGGGTCTAGAGCCTCAATTTTTGCACTCAGGGCTAAGTCTCATTGCCCTCTATCAGAATCCAGAGTTTTGAGAAGATTGGGGATACTTTATTTTTCGCCCGAAAAAAAAACACGAAAGGGGTACCACTGTCGTTTTTTTTTCGGATCGAAATTTTGAGTTTCGATATCTCAGCTCTGGAAGGGTCTAGAGCCTCCATTGTTGCACTCAGGTTTAAGTCTCATGGCCCTCTATCAGAATCCAGAGTTTTGAGAAGATTGGAAAAACTTCATTTTTCGCCTGAAAAAAAAAACGAAAGTGGTACCCCTTTCGGTTTTTTTTTTAGGTCGAAATTTTGAGTTTCTCCAATCTTCTCGAAACTCTGGATACTGATAGAGGGCCAAGAGACTTGGACCTGAGTGAAAAATGGAGTCTCTAGACCCTTCCTGAGCTGAGATATGGACATCCCACTTAGCATATGCCATTATAAAAATAGTGGGATAAATGCTACGTGGGATGTCAATATCTCAGCTCAGGAAGGGTCTAGAGCCTCCATTTTTGCACTCAAGTCTAAGTCTCTTGGCCCTCTATCAGAATCCAGAGTTTTGAGAAGATTGGAGAAACTTAATTTTTTCGCCCCGAAAAAAAAACGACAGTGATACCCCTTTCGTTTTTTTTTAGGTCGAAATTTTGAGTTTCTCCAATCTTCTCAAAACTCTGGATACTGATAGAGGGCCAAGAGACTTGGACCTGAGTGCAAAAATGGAGTCTCTAGACCCTTCCTGAGCTGAGATATGGACATCCCACTTAGCATATATGCCATTATAAAAATAGTGGGATAAATGCTACGTGGGATCTCAATATCTCAGCTCAGGGAGGGTCTAGAGCCTCCATTCTAGAGCCTGCACTCAGGTCTAAGTCTCTTGGCCCTCTATCAGAATCCAGAGTTTCAAGAAGATCCGAGAAACTTATTTTCTTGCAGCGAAAAAGTGGACAGGGTTACCCGTCATGTTAGTACTTTTCGAAAATAGTGGGTTATTGGACAAATAGTGTGTTCGTGGGACGGGGGCGTGTCCGGGGACTCGTCCGATGCACACAGGAAATGACTCTAATATGAATGCATTGATTGATTCCTAGGTTTGTTTTGTTATGAATAAACAAACGTGCAATATATAAATTAAAAACCTTACGATTAAAGTTGTAATGTTATAATGTTCAAGTTTTTGTTCTTAAAAAAAAGAAAGATGCACACAGAAAATGACTCTAATATGAACAGATTGATTGATTCGAAGATATTTAGTTTGTTACAAACAATGTGCAATCTGTAAAACAAAAAACTCAAAATTAAAGTTAAAACGGTATACTGCTGGAATTTTTTTGACCTTGAGAAAAAGCTTAAAGTATAGACCAACAAGTTTTATGTTTATTAATTTATTTCCTGTTGGTACATTTTCCTGTTTTGACCTGATGTCCATTGGAATGGACAAAAAAAAAAAATCACAATGAAAGCAATCATATAAATTTGTTTTTTCATTTGTTTTCATTTATAGAAGCCTCATGAGCTGGGAAAATGTACTTTTATATTTTTCAGAAACTTGAAACATAAGGTCTGAGGGGGTTAAGTTTTATAAGCACAAATGCTCGCCTTACTCTATTCTGTTCTGTGATGCACGTTCGTGACTCTCCTGTTCAAACTCGTTCATCAAAATGAACGAATCTTTTTTCGAGTCATGACTCGAAGGGTCCTAGATAAGACCCTTATTCATCGTCTGATGTCAATTGAAGCTGCACTGAAACTCTCATTTGGACCTTGAACCGTTTGGTTCCCAATGAAGTCCATTAAATGGAGAAAATCCTGGAATGTTTTCATCAAAAACCTTAATTTCTTTCCGACTGAAGAAAGAATGATATGGACATCTTGGATGACATGGGGGTGAGTAAATTATCAGCAAAAGTTTTTTAAAAGTGAACTACTCCTTTAAAATGTCTCAAGAACGACATAAACATTGAAAGCAATAACATGCATTTCACATTATAAAGTTTTTTTTTTACACTGACACAACACGGGCAATGAAACCTGGTGAACTGTTTGTCAATGAATAACTATGCTCTAAAAAGTCAGGTGGGGTCAAAGGTGAAACCATTTGACCTGCACGAAATCCAGTGCCAGAGATAGCATGCATTGATGGAGGTCATGTTATAGGGCCTTCAGTGACGCATCAAATTCTACCTCACTTGGACCCCTAAAAATTCCATTCCCTTGAAGAACTCCTTTTGGAACCCAATTATTAATCCCAAAACGCATCATAAGCAACATGCATCAAAAACATAACATCAATAAATATTTTACTTTAATTATATATCTTGTGTCCAAACTGTCATGTATAAAACCATAAAAATAAACGCTTGTCTTTGATTCAGTTGGTAAGCAAACCAACATGCAATCATAAACTTTCATTGAATTGTGCTCTCTGTGTTAAATATCACCACACCTTTTCTTTTTCTTTTTTTTGTAAAAATCTCTAAGGATACACATTCATTATATTTAGGTAGCACAACAGAAAGATACTAAATAGGCAATGTGAAATCCAGACAAACTTTATCAAAATGATAATATTGGCATTGGAGTACCGTTTAAAGGTGATTGTATTTACCTGATCGGCTACAACAGGATAACACGAAAGGCTTTTTAATCAGGCATTACAAACAGCTACCCCTAGGGGTCCAAGGGCGATAGGATTTGGCATGGAACCGGCTAGCAGAGCTACGGAAGAGCTGACACTCACTGTAGTCACTGTAGCCCCCCATGCCACTCTGGTTACCATAACCACCGCTGTAGCCAGAGCCCATCTGTTGGCTGCTGTGTCCGTATGACGACTGGTTTCCTGCAGAGCAACAATAACGCATCTCCTAATACTGCTTGGTAAGAGTTACTCATGTGTGAAGAAGAGGTGAAGAAGAGCTCTTACCCATACCGCCCATCATTTGGCCACCATATCCTCCGCTTCCGCCCCCTGATGTTGAGTTTAGGAACAGCTCCACATAACGGTGCTCTGCATGAGAAATAGTGTTGTTATTATTTAGACTCCAGATAATCATCTAGCAAAGTGTTTAGTTTGCTTCAAGAGAAGAATTCAGACATTCAAGACATGTTAACAAAACCTGAACTTAATAAAAATCCAATATTTTATCTTTAGCCGATCGTAGATTCACATTCGTTTTTTTTTTCTTTTCCATTATGATTTGCACCACATGTGGACCTAAATAAGATACAGGTCTGAAGTTTTAATTCATCACAGTTTTGCACCAATGACAGTCACACCCAAAGATTATACATTCTGGTAGTTCTTTGGTCATGTGCGGTCAGGGTAGGCAGTGCCTCACCAAAGGAAATGTTGACATTACATTTACACTACCGGTCAAAAGTTTTAGATTGGTAAGATTTATTATGTTTTTAAAAGAAGTCTCTTCTCCTCATCAAGGCTGCAATTATGTAATAAAAAATAAAAAAACAGTAATATTGTGAAATATTATTACAATTTAAAACAGCGGTTTTCTATGTGATTATATAGTGAAGTGTAATTTATTCCTGTGTTCAAAGCTGAATTTACAGCATCATTACTCCAGTCTTCAGTGTCACATGATCCTTCAAAAATTATTATAATATAATGCTCAAGAAACATTTATGATTATTATCCATGTTGAAAACAGTTTTTTACATTTTTATTTCAGGATTCTTTGATGAATAGAAAGTTCAAAAGAACAGAATTGATCTGAAATGGAAAGCTTTTGTAACATTAATCACTACCATTCAAAAGTTTGGGGTCAGTAAGAATTTATTTTTTATTTTTGGGGGAAAGAAATTAGAAAATACTTTTATTCATCAAGGATGAGTTAAATTGATCAAAAGTTACAGTAAAGACATTTATAATGGTAGAAAAGATTATATTTTAAATAAATGCTGTTCTTTTGAACTTTCTATTCATCATAGAATATTGGGGGGGGGGGAAATGGTACACGACTGTTTTCAAAATTGAAAATAATAATTTATGTTTTTTTGAGCATAAAATCAGCATATTAGAATGATTTCAAAAGGATCATGTGACACTGAAAACTGATGTGTAATCAGCAACAGTAATTATGTTGAAAATTCAGCTTTCAAATTACATTTTAAAATATATTAAAATGGAAAACAGTCATTTAAAATTGTCATAATATTTCACAATATTACTGTTTGTCATTTTCATTTTTCATCAAATAAAGCAGCCTGGTGAGCAGAAGAGACTTCATTTAAAAACAAAAAAAATCTTACTGATTGAAAACTTTTGACCAGTAGAGTATGTTTTCATCAAAAACCTTAATTTATTTTTGACTGAAGAAAGAAAGACATGGATATCTTGAATGACATGAGGGTGCCTTGATAAGATTTCACAGTACGTTACTGCTCTGTGAATATGGAAGTTTGCAGCAGATTTAGTAGGGGAGGGACACAGGAAGCTGTTTTACTCATATGTATTAAAGTGACAGCTCTATGTCAGCTAAATTGAGGGAAAAAAATACCATATGAGAAGAACATTGCTCTCTTTCACCTCATCCTCATCACACAAATTTGCTGGTTTTCTAGGTACACCACCTTATAAATAAATGGCAAGTTCGCACTCAAATCTGATATTGACCACTTAAAAAAAATGTGAACAGCCAAACAAAGAAATTGGATGGCAGTAATAAATCACTTGAGCACTAAGGCTTTCAGCATTAAATGTAGCTATTTCCTCTCCTAAAACTTACGCATATTGGCTTTGTCTTTTGACATGGCAGCCACAGCGTCCTCATGCGTGGCAAACTCGACATCCGCCTCGCCCGTCACCCTGCCGTCAGGACCAATCTCCAGATGAACACGCACCGGGTTCAGTGGAGAGAAGAACTAGAGAGGACAACATGAACACTTGCATTCAGTTAATTGTCAAAGTACACAGTCTAGAAATAAACAGGTATTGAGTATAAGGACTCACATTATAAATGTCTGTCTCAGTGGCTCTGTACGGAAGACCTCTCATGTGCACACAATGCCCTGTTGTGCTCTGAAACGAGGAGCTGCCATCACCATAACGGCCATCTTTGATTCAAATAAGAAAAAGAACAAATAAACAAGAAATCTTGATAAAACCTTTCACTGTCTGTTTTAATTAACTGTGCATGAGTATTTTGAGACGAAGCTGTTGAAAAAAAAAAAAGAGTGAAATCGAGCGATTTTTTTCATTTGGCAAAAGCTTTCTTATCTAAAGTGACCTAGCAGTCAAAATCTTTACAGGTGCAGTATGCAAGTTTCACCACAAGAGGTCGCTTATTTATAACAATGACAAAGGTGTAGCTTGATGACGCTGTGAATGAGCATGGTATCATGGGTGTTATCATCTTCAGCTCCACAGCCAATGGAAAGCAATCCGATGGGATTCAGGCAGAACTCATGATCAAGGATGAGCTACTGTGTTAAACTGTGTCCCAGTTACTGTGGTTATTTGGGAGATTGTACTTTGCTGTTTGTGTTATATGCCACAGTCAGCAACTGCCACTCCGTTTGTTTAGTTTACAATTAAACTTGAACTTTGTTAGTTACATTTGATCACTTAAATTTACATTTTATTTCATGAAATAGCCTGAGTGCTGAATTACTACTTAATACAGGCACTTTACTTAACAAATTAAAATTGTGGGGTAACACAGCACTGTTTTACTGTTCAATCATACTAAAACACTGTCTTTAAAGTTATGTTATGTGTTGCATTTGTTGCATTGTCGTAAGCTAGACTGATATTACAAAATCATATTAATGAAGCTGGATGACTTGTGTTGCTAAATGGCAAGCAATTAATTTTTAAATATTGTATTGTGCAGAAATTATTACTATTACTACAAATAAAGCAGTTTCTGATTATGCCATGTTAGCCCCATGACAAAATGGTGTTGTCTCTGAGAGATGGTACAAAACAAGAGATTTAAACAATAAGACTAACTGTGTTGAACAATCTAAAAATAGTTTTCTGCTGATAAAGGTATCCAAACAGTTGCTCACCTGTCTAATAAAACACATAATATTAAACCATCTTTGGTGTTTCTACGGAAATCGGGAATATGCAAATCGAGGGTAAAGCAGATTTGACGTCATTGACAGGTGATGTAATGACACGGACAGTTACACTAGTTAAAATAGTTCATTTCTCTGGATTTAAACATGGTTGGAAACATCTGGGATATTAGAAGTACACAAATCAATATACAGTAATATATAACACTGTTCTAGTAGTTTTTGGATATTTTAATCCAAAAATCTTACATATTGTGCCTTAAATTAACTATTATCTTGCAACTATGTCAAGAGAGTGGCACAGGCTGTATAGCTTTGTGTTAGTTAGATAATTACATAACAGGACTGTAACTGTGCACCAACCTCTCACGATGCCACTCATTATTAGGCTCCATCATTAGCATATGTGGCATAATGTTGATAAGCACCAAAAATAATTTACCCCCACCGTAGCCTCCACGTCTCATTCTCTCAAAGGAGACTCCTCTTCCCATGCTGTTGTAGCCGCGGCCTCCACCCGGCCTGTCGTAGGGGCCCGGTCTCTGCATGCCCATGACCTTACGCTGGGGTTCATAATGTGTGCGCACTTCCGCGCGACTGCTCTTGAAGATCTCTATATACCTAAGGACATAAAGACAGACTGATGGCACCAGGGTCTATCGGCAGAAGACAAGAGCATTCCTGCGTGCAGTATAAATAAGAGCTGTCTGAAAACGGGTCTAATGAACAAACACCCTTAGTTAGAATGACTCTGGGATGACACTAATTAACAGTCAGCGTCTCCATTCAGTGACTTTACGTAACAGTTTCCGAAAAAAAAAAAAAAAGAGAGACACAGAGAGACAAAAGAAATAAAGCACCCTTATTTATTTAGCTTCATTCAACCCTTCATTATGAAGAACTTTTCTTATGGTCACCCGAAGGTGTGGTGTGCTCTCATTGGACTGCACGCTGCTCTCTGCTAGCAAAGCACTTCAGACAGTTAGGGTTAACTTTGTATTACCTGTTTAACTGGGTCCTCATGATCTGAAGTCTTCAAAATGGTAGAAACACTGACAGATTCCTATTACATTAGGCTTAGTGCTGAGTGGCCATCGGTCAAGCAGGGAGGGCTGATGCCACACATCTCAAAAGGCCCAATGGTGTGTCTGAACTGTGCGAGTTCAGACACACTATTGAACACGTTACGTGTCAGTTAACCTGATAATCGTGTCGAAGCAGCTGGTACGCGGCACGGCGAGCCAACGGTAATCACATGAGCTTTCGCTCTAAACACGGAGACTGCTTTAGCTTTGGATAGGTAAAAATAAAAAGAATAAAAAGATGAGCGAGCAAATGATTTGGTGAAAAGCAAACAAAAGCACATCAATTCCAAAACAACTACAGTGTGTGTGCGTCAGTGTATGCGTGCTGTAAAGTTGCATCCACGGGGCTATAATAATATTCATCATAGGTGCTATATAGTTGACAATAGGGATGCACGATATATCGGCCAGCATATCGGTATCGGCTGATATATGTTCATTTTTAATGTTATTGTTATCGGCCTGGTAAGAAAATGTGTGCGATATATTAAAGCCGATAAATAATGTATTATTCCCTTTAGCTGAGACACTTGTTGAGAACTGTTTATGCTTTTGAATTTCTTGAAATATGATTAAAACCTCTTCAAAAAATGAAAATCTGGTTCGGGACAACATGTGCAACGCAAATCTGTCATATCGGCTATACAACACTATAATGAGAACATCATTATAATTGTGCGCCATTGGGACATGGATTTAATTGTGAGACTTTTGTTTTTGTAATCAGGCTCTCAAAAATTAGATAAAAATTTGGATTTAAGTTTATCTGCCGATATATCGGTTATCGGCTTTCAAATATAAAGAATTATCGGTTATCGGTATCGGACAAAATTTTCATATCGGTGCATCCCTAGTTGACAACTTATGTGAACAGGTTTAAAAATTATTGGGAGGTGCCCGCAAACTACTCTGCTCAGCTCTTAATTCCTCTCACACTATTTAAGCATCAACGATTATTAAAGGGATAGTTCACTTTGAAATTAATTTTTGATATGTTTTAGCTTACCTCAAGGTCATCCAAGATGTAGGTGTCTTTGTTTCCACAGTATTTTCAATTTTGACATTTTTCAGTCAAACCGTTGTTGTCTATCAGTCATACACTGGAGGATAAGGGGGTCCACCAAAAAGCATGCACAGAGAAGTCCAAATTAAACATGATTTAATGACTCGTAAATGTAAGTACACATTGATGGCCTAAGACACGAAACGAGCGGTTTGTGTGAGAAAACTAACAGTATTTATATCGTTTTTACCTCTTGTAATCATAGCCGTGACAAAATGATCTGACGGCACGGGCGCTTCGGTCTGCGCATGCGCCGGAAGTGATCGCTTGCGCGCCTACGTCACTCTTTGTTTATACAGAGATTTCGGAAGTTTTACCTTTCACTAAACATATTTAGATATACGGGAAACTACAATGGAAGACGATTTCGGTATATCTAAATATGTTTAGTAAAAGGTAAAACTTCCGAAATCTCCATGTAAATATTGAGTGACGTCACACGCAAGCGATCACTTCCGGCGTAACATTGAACTGATTCAGTTCGGTTCAGTTGGACATTGCACAACTGATTCAGATCACTTAGACGTCACTGTGATTACACGAGGTAAAAACGATATAAATACTGTTCGTTTTCTCACAAAACCCGCTCGTTTTGTGTCTTCTCTGTGCATGCTCTTTGGTGGACCCCCTTAGCCTCCAGTGTATGACTGATAGACAACAACGGTTTGACTGAAAAATGTCAAAATTGAAAATACTGTGAAAACAAAGACACCTACATCTTGGATGCCCTTGAGGTAAGCTAAAACATATCAAAAATTAATTTCAAAGTGAACTATCGCTTTAACGATAAAAATCATACCGCGTACGCCTGGCTTAAAGTAAAGTCACAATTAGCGTTGATCAGTAAAATTTTCACAGGCCCAATAGGGAACTGACCAACAGAAAAAGCTGCTCGAGTTGAATGTAACTTCAGTGAGATTGCAATTGACAATATACAATGTACCTTTTTGTCTGTAAAATTTTGCTAATGTGGCCGCACTTTTAATGAGCCTGGCTGACACATCTGTCCATTAAAACCCAAAATTCACCAGCTTGTCAAAAAGTTCAAATATCTACTAAGCTCTTTTCCTCTTTAAATCTACACAGCGCTGCTCAATGGTTCACTCAGCACTAAAAACAGATAAAAAGCTGGGCTTCATTTTCCTTGTTTTTTATTTTTTGTTTGTCATCAAATCATCTGTGGTCATGTCTTGTCATTTCTGCAGTGGATGATTTAATGAGGTGAACACCATAAGAAAAGCAACGTATCCAGGCAACCAACCAGCCATCCCCACCTGTGCCCTATTCTTTCCTTGTGTTTCTTTAGAGCCTTTTCGGCTATATCCTGTGAAGCAAACTGCACGAAGGCCTCCCCCGTACTCCTCCCCTGGAAGTCCACCGGCAATGTTATCCCATTTGGCACGATTTCCAACCCTTCAACCCAAGGACAGATAACCCCAGTGGGGGACAAATTAAGTCACAAGCCCATTAACAAGACTTTATATTACTCTATGGGTTTCTCTTTATGTCAAATGAGAAATGATACTAAATAAACATACCAAATGGGGCCGCAATACCTTTTCTGGCACAACTTATGGATAATTTGGTGCAAGAAAAAGAAAAAAGGGTCACTTAAATTGAATGCTTATTGAGAGTCTGTCTCAACCCATCTCTGTTTGGAAAGCCCCAATAAATGCCTAGATTTTTGTACACCTTTTTTGGGTATATAAACACTACAAAAGGGCTGAGGCAATTAAAAAAAAATTAAGTACAATTTCTGATAATTAAATTAAAGGGATAGTTCATTCAAAAAGGAAAATTCTGTCATCATTTACTAACCCTCATGACGTTTCAAACCTAGAAGATTTTTGTTCATCATCTGACAGTTCAAAATGTAGGTCTTAAAGTAAATAAGAATCAATCTGTTTAATCCAAGTCTTCAGAAGACATGTTATTGCTTTATAAGATGAACAGATTTAATTCAGGCTTTTAATCACATATAAACATTGATCAGCGAACAATCTTTACAGCATTCAATTTTGCAATGGAAGCTCTAGCATGTTCGCTTGACGTGTAAGAACTTTTCTCATGTTACGCAGCACATTTGACCTTCTACAAGCACCAATGAGGTTCATTCTCACAAGTACTGTTGAGCTTCAGATTATATTCGCTGATCAATGTTTATGTGTGAATAAAAGCCTAAATTAAATCTGTTCATCGATCAAGTCTCTTCAAACGACTTGGACTAAACCACTCATATGGATTTATTTAACAATCTCTTTATGACCCTTTGAAGTGTCAGAGTGTTGTGTGAATAGACTTTTAAGGGAGGGACAGAAATCTCCCAGGTTTCATTAAAAATACCTTAATCTGTGTTTCAAAGAAGAACAAAAGACTTATGGGTTTGAAACAACATAAGAGAGAGTAAATGATGACAGAATTTTAATTTTGTGTAAACTAACCCTTTAAAGGACAAAGCTGTATAAAAAGTGACCCATCTTGGTCCTTCTGGATGATTATGGAGATTTAATATACTGATCCTAATTTTAAAGATTAAATGACTAAAACCAAGTACTTTGGATTTAAATGTTCAAAGTTCATTAATGAGCAAATGATGGTCCGATAAGCTAAAATACACCTTAGATGTAGGCATATTGTTTAATTTTGTGAATAGTGGGGAATTTGAACTTCCTATCAAACATACCTGCAAAAAATTGGACAATTTCCTCCTTGCTGCATCCGAAGGGCAGACCGCGAAGCCTAACCAGGCCGTCTCCTCCTGTGTCTGGGCAGTTTGGTCCGGTGTGCTTCAAAACCCAGTCCATCTCAACACTATTGGATTTGAATACTGAAACCACAAATTAATCGATCAGCATTTTGCCATGAATTATTAAGGATCCTAATAAGGCAAAAGGACCTGCCTACCTTCTACGTAACGGTGCCCCATGGTTTCACGATCTTTCTTCACTGCGATTTTAAGACCTTCCTCCGATTCAAACTCGACAAATGCCTCTCCACTTGGTCGTCCTTCCCGTGTATATGTGAAGTGTATGCTTGTTCCATTGTTGGCAATTTTGCATTCTATAATGAAATGTAGCTAGAATTAGTCAAGCAGGGAATAATCCAAAAGGATAAAATATGGAGATTTAAGCAGAGGCTCTTTCACCTGAGAAAAACCTCTGAACTTCATCAACAGAGCAGGACCAGGGCAAACCTCTGACTCGCACCACAAACCCCTCTCCATCCGCCATGCTGGAAATAACCCTGCTTAAACACAATATAAAATACATCAATCTATAATACAGTATTACATACAGAATAATATCCGTTTTAAAATGAACTGTATTTCATGATGTTATATGCATCTCAAATGAAGCACTGCACAACCCAGACATACAACATATAAGGCAAAAAGCTCAGGCAAAAACACCCATTTAGTTTATTCTAAACACACACACACCGGTCCAACTAATAAAAGCTAAACCAATCAATCATGCACCTAAACATTCCATATTCAGCCAAAACGAAAAACCAAAATATGACCCTTTTAGGTATAATATAATAGTTAATACTAATAGTAAATAGATATATTTACATCATAAATGGGAAACTGTTTTGCATAACTGATGAAACGAAAGTGTTAGCTTTAGCGAGCTAACTTAGCTGAACCACATACCTTCTGATAACCCCCCAAATACGCTTCGTCTACTCAACCGAAGCAATCCGTTTTATCTGCCCCTTAATAAAGTATTTTATCACTTCGTATATACGTCTATAATAAGTAAATGAATAATAAAAAAACGAGAAACTGAACGGCTCTCGCGTATGAACGGGAAATAAACGTCCCTTTTCACCGGATTCAGAAACTAAAAGAGGCGTTTGGCGACACCTACTGTTTGAGTGTGAAACTACAGCGCTCTAAATCTATACAAACATGACGTTCTCTATCTGATTTTGTGAAACAAACCACCTATGTATGTAATCTTTTTATAGATAAGGAAACGGGTTTTTTTTTTTTTAAAGAACTTAAAAATTGGCTCGGAAATAGGCTTGAAGTCGTGTCCTAAAAAAACAACAACAACAGTAGGCTAGGCTAATTTTATTATTAATAATAAAACAGCTCATGAGCCATTCCACCGAAAGGGTGACATTTCTGTCCCCAAGACATTATATGTATAAAATTGCAAGAAAATTAACTTTAAAAATACATTTTATTATTAACGAAAACGTCATGCACATTAAGCTAACTACAAATTTAAAACGTATAATTAAAATCATTAATAAAAACAACACAGAACCCTAAAAAAATAGCATTTTCTGCATGTCCCAACTCTCTATCTCTAAACTTTACCATGAAATATTATCATTAAAATCCTTCAGAAATCTGAAAAAAAGAGAAAAAAAAAACATCACAAAACATTTTAGATAAAATACACATTTTCACTCAGTCCTGTTAGACTATTACATCCCCTCTCTGAAATACGTATTCCACAAGACACATTTTCAACAGTAAGTTGCATCATCTGGATCTTCTGAAGGCAATGGGGCGAATATAAGTCACTCCTCTCATTTTCACTTCTGTAGAGAAGGTCAATCTCAATATACAGTCCTGTTATTATTTTTTTCTTTTTCTTAAACAATAAAATTAAACCACTATTTTTATCAGTTTTGTTTGACCCATAATGTATACAATTATTTAATGAATTAATTCTAAAAAAAATGTATAAGCTTGACTCCGGCCCTCATATAAATGTAGCATTTTCTAAATGTTCAGCGGCTCCTTTTCGAAAAAAATGTTTTTTCCTTTTTTTTAATGTAGTCTTGAATTAGTGTCCTTTAATTTCAATTTGGCAGAAGATTTGCAAATATATATATATATATATATATATATATATATATATATATATATATATATATATATAATTTTTTTTTATTTTTTTATTTTTTTCACTTAAATCAAAATCAAAGATCTGGCAACCCTGCATGTGTTTTTGTTGCTCAAGTCTCGTTTATCACATGATGCGAGTCACGTAGTCTGTTCTGTTGTTAAATAGCCGAGCGCGCTCGCGTCCTGCGGACAGGCAGATAGACTCACTTGATCGGCTTTCACAAGACCAGCGCTGTCTACAACACGCTACAAAAATATCTGTGGCATTTATTTTTTTAATGTTGTTAAAACTTTGTTGAGCTAAGTAAAATCAGACACGTCATAGAGACGGGTGTTGGATAGAAACCCTTTAGAGCCCTGATAAATCACCGTGTTTTGGTGTCAAGAAGTTTCGATCACACTTCATCCACGATGTCCGCCAACACACAGCAGAGCAAGAGCTGCCCCATTCCCACACGCGTGCTGCACCTCAAAGACTGGTCTCAGCTCCCGGACTGCTACAGCCAGACCCCTGGAGGAACACTCTTCTCCACCACTCCTGGGGGTAAGACTGCGTTTTAAGACTGTACAGTTTATTTGTTTGTTGGTGAAGAACATGTATTTTGATGAATATTGTGTATCTTTTATTCTTCTATAGGGGAAAAAACTTAAACCAGCCCGAGATCTTAGCTGCATGGGCTCCCAGTGTGGTCTGTTTGTTGGTTTTAGGTGGATTTTTGGGAACTTGGGAGAGCAACTTTAACCAGCAAACCATCTTGGAATGGTTTAAGGTGTATGTTGTAACACATTGTGACATCCCCATTACTTTATTTTTATGTTGATATACAACATCCACACAAGTGTTTTTTTTTTTTTAAATCAAATTAAGCTCAGAAATGTACTTATTCAAAATATTAGCACATTTTCAAAAACCTATACTATTTTCAAAATCAATAAAGACTAATTTCCTGTTGGTTAAACTAATGTTGTAAACAAAAATACAACATGAAATATACTTGACTTGCATTAATGTGTAGCACAGACCTGGTTTAATTAAATAAAGCTTTTTTGTTGTTGCATTAAACCAGGGGATGAGCATGTATTTGAAAGATAAAACTTCTTGTAAAGATCTCAGATGTGAATTGTTTAATTGGTACTAAATTCCTGTTGCTACGCAAACGTTTGTTATGCACAACAAGTTAGTAATTTATGGCAGACCGTCTGCAGCAAGATAGCCCAACTGCCATGCGTGTTGTTATGCAACACTGTCTGGTTATCTGATTTGCGACTTGCATGTCCCCGAAATGATAGGCATTGAGTTAATCTAATCATGTGGAAAACAATCACATGACCCCTTTATTCCTGGGCAGGACATACATGTTTCTCAATCTCCTTTGTCCCTCGCTAGAATATCTTTCGCATGTGGCTGTAACTGTAGCACGTTCAGAGGAGGAGGCAATTCTTAGAAACAACCCTCCTCCTTCACAGCTGTTGTGGATTTCAGGAATAACAGAACTCTGTGCTCTGGAAAAGGAGTTCACTGGGGCCATCATGGACGGTTCCCTCACCGCAGAATGAAAAATAGCAGATCAGAGGCATGTGCATACATGTGTGTATATATACATATATAACTATAGTTACTTACTCTCTATAGGCGAGCTGAGAATCCCTGCCAACAATTTGTACGGATTGCATTTCACTCCTCAAGCAAAACAAAGAAATGAAGCCTGTTTTTAGGACCTTTTTGTTTACATCTTGACGGCCCATATTTCAAAATTATGGAAACTACATTTTATGATTAATCGTGATTAATCACATCCAAAATAAAAGTTTGTGTTTACATAATATATGTGGATGCACTGTGTATAATTATTTTGTATGTGTATATATATATATATATATATATATATATATATATATATATATACTTAAGAAAAAAATATAAAAAAATATTTCTGAAATATATACATGCATGTGTGTGTATTTATATATATGTATATGAAATAATTATACACAGTGCACCCACATATATTATGTAAACACAAGCTTTTATTTTGGATGCGATTAATCGCGCTTAATCGTTTGACAGGCCTAATATAAAAGGATTTAATTCATTTTTATTTAATAAAAAAAATACAAAATTATAATTTGGGGGGAAATTGTGCTAAATTGTCACAATGGAAATATTATATTATATATTATGGCCTGGTTTCACAGACCTTAGTTCAATTAGGACATTTGTAACTGTCACAACTTTTATAAATGTGTCTTAGACAAAAATACATTTTACTGGTGTGCATCTTGAGACAAAACAATGCCACTGACAAATTTGAAGATCGCTCAAACATGCACTTTAGTCTGGGACAAGCCTTGTCTGTGAAACCGGGCATAAAAGTGCAATTATAATAGCGCAAAAAAAAAAAAAAACGTAATTTATTTTAAACAAAATAAAAGGACTGGGTGTGAAATCCGATTTGAAAACTTTTAACCTACACAAATTGCACTCTTTCACTTTCTTGAACTCTGAGATGTTGAAAACCATGCAAGTCCTGCAGAAACGGTTGGTCTCGCTGCTCCCAGTGGTGACCACTGTTCGTCCAACCCCTGTCCCGTCTCCGTCCACACCCTTCCCCTCCCCCTCCTCTCTTTGTCCAGAACACATTGCACTGAATAGCAAAAGTTGCGTAACATGTTTTTCAGCAACTACTGGGTACAGCATAGCTGCTGTTAACTACAACAGAGACACTAGTTATATAGGGTTAGTTAAGCGATGCAAGTTTGTTCACAACTCATCGTAACATGAGGTTAAACTCACTGTGTTTCCCCCATGGCTCGGCTCGACATTCTCACGTGCAGTCCTGCTCAAATTTCCTAGAACTAAAATGGGATGTGCTGACTCCTGCAATTGAGGGAGTTTGAAAACTTCTTTTCACTTGCAAAATGTCAACCATTTGAGTCTTTGTTTGCTGTCTATTAGCATGGGCGTGTTAAGTGGCACATCGAGTTCTTTCTTTTATTTTGTTAAATAGATTAGATTTGCTGTTCGTTTGGTAAACTCCCAAGAAAACCATACGTCTGACTGGAAAGCCACATTTCAAGGATTGCATTTGAATGCTAACACATTTTACTTGAATCCTAGGTGTGTTGTTTTCACACACGTGATGGTCTGCAGCCTACAATGTAAATATGTTTTTCTATCATGTGATTGGTTGATATAATATATGTCCCATCCCTCCACTAGGAACACGGATCATTTATGACAGAAAGTTCCTCCTGGACTGCAGGAACTCTCCCATTGCCCGGACCCCACCCTGTTGTTTGCCCCAGATTCCTGGAGTGACCATTCCTTCCCACCACCCAATGTCCAAACTGCAGGAACTCAAAGAGGAGTTGGAGGAGGAGAAGGATCTGGCAGGTAAAGTTGCTGTCTGCTCCAGATAAAGAAAGAAAACCTGTTCTGTGATAATATTTCCAGGAAAAATTAAGCCCTCAGGTTTCTCCTGAAACAAATTCATTTGAGTATATTCTGTACTTTTTGGAAAACAAGGTTCAATGGGGATCTAAATCGCCATTAAGCAAAAAAACGTTAACGTTTAACAGATTATTGTTATTTTTGTAGTGATAAATATGTTTATGAGCTGTAAAAGTTTTTTTTTTTTTTAAAGTGAACTAGTCCTTTAAGGTTTTAGATCCTGGATTTGCACATTTTCAAGGTTTCTCCATTCAAATGCCTCAAAGAACCAACCTCTCTTTCTTTTGTTTTAAGCTGATGACAACCAGTTTGAGATGGACATTTGAGTCTTTCATCTACCTCCTGTGGAGAGCTCTCTATTATCTGTCGGGATGATGCTAATTACCTCACAATCAGCGGACATCACACACTCACCAGATTTATGGGCTTTGTAATGAGCTAAACACCCAAAGGGTGTCTTTTTCTTTTGATTAAAAGTATATGTTCAACGTATACAAGGAAAAAAAATCATGATTGTTTGTAAGTGGTGGGATTTTAA